CATATCCAAATCCCTTCCTATCTTTTGTTGAGTTGGCAAACTGGCGGTCCTTGGCCCATCTTTGCTCCTATAGGGCTCGGCCTTTCCTGTACCAAATCACTCTTGTACCAAATCATGATTTCAGTCACCTGCTGACATCACCTGTTTCAAATGGAATCATCATTTCATAGTTTTACTTCAATTGAAGTGTGCTTATTATGAACAAAGAATAAAATTGATGAGGTATTAATACCGTCCCAGATTTTTCTGCTTTGGGGTTGTAAATGCTCCTGGTATAGCACCACATCTTTCGTACTTGTCAGGGACCAAGCAGTAAGGCAAAAGACACAGCTTCCAAAGTTCAAAATAAAGGGCTTTTTATTAACCCAAAAGTAAGAAAAATACAAAATTAACATCAAATAAATTGGGCCCTAAAAGAGGTCAACAAAAGATGAGGAAACTCAAAATACAGCAAACTGAACTGTCTAATACCTCAACAAAACCCAACTAACCTGGCAAATGAGACACATAGGGGAACATATATACTGGCTGGCCAAACCAATAACACACACAAGGGATAAACTAAAGACACTACCAAAATAATCAACTAATAAACCCTAAACAGACAGTCAGTCCGTTCTCAACTAAATATTTTCTTTAAATATAAAGAAATTAACATAACTTGACAAATAAAGTTTTAACATAAACTACCAACAAATAAACAATAAATTTCTCCCAAACTCCTTTCTTTCTTGTATTGGGTACGTGGTGCAGTCCAGGCCTAGTGGGGGGTATTTAAACCTGCTGCCTCCTCAGTCCAATCTTTTAGCTGACCCGCCCCCCCATCCATGGACCAGGAAACACGGTAACTCAAAAGAAAAGGTCAACATTAACCATACAAAATTAATCAAATGTGCATACTCATCGATCAATTGTGTATGTCTAATATAAATTACCCACCCAAGTCCATGGCGGGTGGTGGTCTAGGTCCTCACATGGTGAAGGCCAGGACTGAGGCCTACACAATACTGATGGACTATCTGCTATCTGATATTAAAAATCAGTCCTCTGGCAGTCAGTGGCACTGTTGACCAGCCAGCTCTGTGTATTCATCAATAGCTGAATCAATCAACTGGTCGGCTGGTTGCACAGAGGGCCTCTCTCGCTCTGTTTCACATCTCACTCTTTTTCAAGTTGAAATATAATTTATTTGCACACCCTCTGTCTCTGTCACTCCCTCTCTTTATGCCTATTGGACCAAATGCTGGCTAAATGGAGGAGGTAGGGTCAGTGTGTGTGCGTCTGTTTAAGGGTTATCACATGCATGGATCTGTCTGTAGGGTGAGCTGTTGACCTTGTTGATGTAGATATGCTCTCTTCCTTTAGGACCATGGTGAGTCTCTCTTGTTTTCTTTCTTTCCCACTGCCTGCCCGGCATGCATGCACAAATTCCATCCTCCCCTTCAGCTCATTCTGACTTGCATGCACACAGTCTTGAGTTGGAGTGGAGAGGCAGATGTCACACTCTCCCCTGTCTTATTGGAACATTTCTCTCATTTTTTTACATTTTCTTTTTTATTTTTATAACTATTCCTCTTATCTTTATTTTGTGGGTGTTCTTCATCTGTCTATTTGTGGTGTTGTTACCATGCCATAAATCCTGTGGCGCCAGCCCGTGGCACAAACTGTTGTTTGCCTGTCAACAGCCATGACAGGGGGCCTGTGTCTGTCTCTGACACCATATGGGCCTCTGTGTTTGTTTGGTTGTATAATGCCAGAGCCCTCTCTGCTGCCATCTGACCTGCAAATACCTGCAATCTGGCCTGTTCTTTGTCCTCTAGATCAGAATTTGTTATAGTCAGAATTAGCTCATCCCCCTTCATCAGTGTTGATGAATGCAGATTTTAAATAGCACCATTCTGTAAATAAGAATATAAAATAAAGGACGAAGGAGGATTTACTGAGCCAGTTTAAACATTTGTTTTAAGCTCAAATAGCCATTTAGGTTGCTGGTGTTAATCAGATACTGTACTGTCATGTTGTGAGAAAGACTGTTAGCATACAGTATATGACTTTTCCTGTCTTTAACAAGCAGCCTCAGCTATTTCCTTCTGGGAACATCATTAAAGTACCCAAACTCTGAATAATAAATCAAGGGATATACCTTACTGTAACAGCCTAATTTGCACATGACATGATAAAACCTCCTATACCTGTGTAGGAACTTTGTGTCTGTGCTGATAAGTGAATCTACATGAATACTGTTAATTGTCCTATAAATTTTAAGTCAGATACAGCAGCCATGTATCATTATTTTAGTCTGCATTTCTTTCTTTTTAATAGGCAGTTGTATTAAGCTGTGAAAAGAGACAGGAAAAGAAAACAGGTGTGTGACAGTTTCTAAAGAGCTTTCCTGTCTTGTATGACTTATATGAACAGGACTTACTGTATGTTTGGCCATTCTTTAAACCCAGGGAAAGCTGTGGGCCTTACCGAATTAAATAGTAAATTAGACATTACTAAAGCAATACACCAGGATTGTGGAGCCGAAAACAACAGTTACTGTCTGGGCTCAGCTTGTTTGTAATTAATGCTATTCACAGAGCTGCACTGTAGTCGTATAGGCACGCTGACCATACAGGGTAATTCATCATTATTTTAAGAGCTAGTGCATGTACCAAAACATGCAGTTGTTTAAACCACCTAACACGTTTCATGTCAGAAAAACAAATGGCAAGTTAGAGAGGATATGACCCAAAGCGTGGTTGAACCTATATATGTCTGTGCAGTTTCCTGTTTGCTCACTCGCCTCGTAGCTCTGACGACATGTGCCTGTCTTTCCTGAGTTCAACTGCAGATTTTAGATGTGTTTAGCAAACTACTACTAGCAGCATTAGCACCTAGCACTGTAACTAAGTACAGTGAGTACTCCAAGATCTCCAAGATTTGAGTACTTTATCTCATCAATACAAGAATATTTTATCACTTTAAATGCTCTTAGAATAAAGTCCTACTGGCACTTTAGGTTATAAAAGATTTGCCTTGTCTTTTTTCACAAAAACAGGAAAAACAAGCATGAGTAAAGTACCGAGCATTTTGGATTTCGACAGCTGCCGAGTACAGAGTACAGTACTCGGTTTCAATCCTTCAGACTGTACGCAGGTACAGTATATAATGCATATTACTAAGGTGCACCTCTCATAGCACCAGCCAGGTTTAAATGAAGCTACAGCCAACTCATTTAATGTCACAATGATTTCATTTGCATGTGAAGACAGTGTTTTACAAAAATCAGAAATAGATGCCTCATACCAAAAAAAAAAAAAAAAAAACTCAGCTGTGGACCAACATCTCCACCTTAGTTACAGTGCTAATGCTGCTAGTAGTAGTTTGCTATGTTTCAGTGACTTCAACAGTGTTTTTTAAAGAGTCTTGGTAGCTGCAATTGCATGATGATATTTTGCCAAATAAACAGGCTGTGTGTCTTTGTCTGTTCTGGAGATGAGGGTAATTTGAAAACACATGTAGGCTAAATAGTTTTCATCACTTCAAGCACTATTCAGTAGTGATTGGCTGCGACAAAAAAGGTCTACGCAACTGGGGTCAAAGTTCAACAAAGCTTTCATTGCACCTCTACTCCACACCTTGATATATGCCTTTAATAATTAGCAATGCATTTTGTGCATTATGGTGGCTACTGTTAGTGAATTAGCAAATGCTGGATATGCTATTGTGTGCCTTGCAGTGATTGTCCTGCTAGTGTTAGTCAGACGGGCAGGCAATCCTTCTGCCTACAGTATGCACAGGTACAGAGGGGTTTTACTGTAATTCTCTGTAGATATGGGGGCCACATAATCATTCCTGTGCTTGAGTAACAGTGGGATTAGTGAGGTTCAGCCAGCTAATCATGCCTTGCCTTCCATTGCCTTCACATGACTCACAGCTCTATCCAGCTTCATCTACCCCTTTTCTCTTTTTGTGCTGTTTTGCATTCACCAGGCATTCATATTTCACTTCTTTCCCCATCTTCTCCTTCTCCCCTTTGCCTCTCTTTATCTTGCCCTCTGTAATCTCATTCATTTTTCTATTGATTCTCTGAAATCTCTCTAACTGGGATGGGTTGGTCCTGACTGTGACTAAAGCACTGTAGCTAGGTGCCAAGGATTGTTCCCCTTTCTGTGTATACTTGTTGTATTTTGTGGGCGGGGGCATGTACTGCATGAAGCTGTTTTGCTATGTGTCTGGCAGAAAGTTAGTGTTCTCTTACATAAGCAGGTCTTGGCTTGATAGAGCAGGGGTTTAGCTTGGGTATACTGTGCTCCTTATATCCTCTGAACATGAGTTATTCACTCACATGTGTCTCTTATTTATACAAGTATAAAATGACAATAAGAAAGTGGTAGTATACTGTAGTAATCTGCACATACAGTATCTGCAGTGACATTTCATCCTCCACAATGTATGCCATCTAAAACTAGAAGTGGAAATAAAAAATTTTGCGAGGAGCAGCAAGTTACTTCTGTTCAATGTTGAAATGATTAGTCACTTCAATTAGTCATCTGACTAATTCAGTCAGATGCTGTTATGACAGGGTGGCACTGATCTTTTCATATAACCCTCTGCAATAAAGCATATGTGTGATTCCCAAGATGTCAAACTATTGCTTTAATTTGTTTGTTGATATTATCAAATATTTACTGTATATCATATAGTCAAAAGTAACATTGTCATGTCTTGCTAACAATCCAAAACTCAAAGATATTCTGTTTTCAATGATAAACCATTTTAAAAAAGCAAAAGAATCCACACATTTGAGAAGCTGCACATTTGGTAATTTCTTATAGAAATAGGCATTTTATGAAGCAGAGGGGAAAAAAATGTCTTACTGTATGTTGTCATACAAGTCAGTGGTTTTCCCCAGTTAACCCAGACTTCCAGTTTTAGCACTGCATTGCTCTCTGACAGCTTAGTGATTTCCTGCCCTTTCACTCTGTATTCATTTTCCTCATTGCCTGTTTCAGAACATGGCACTGGTCTGGCTCCAATCTCACCTGCCCTGTGCTAACCCAACCAGTGTCACCAGTATCGCATATCGGCACACTCCCAGCAAAGCTTGCTAAACAGTCCTGTGTGGAGAGCCATGCTGTCTGGTACTTGGCGGCGCTCTGTGGGGCATCAGTCTTCTGCAACACCTGTGGTGACCACCAGGGGGACGACAGTGTGTGCGGTCCCCAGTGGTACAGTTGTCCTTGAGGCCCAATACGACTACAACTACCGAGGTACAGATGGAAGCCAGGTCTGCATAAGGGAGGGTGAACGGTTTGTTCTGCTGAAAAAGGCCAACGCTGATTGGTGGCAGGTGAGAAAGCAGTTTATCTTTTGCTTCTCCTGTTTTGGTGAAGCCATAAATATTAGAAAAGCATGCACATAGCACCTACAACATTCTGTAGACTTTTGAGAAGTTTGGATTAAAGAACGAGGTTGATAATATTCTATATTTTTCTTTTGCTCCTCAACAAATAACATGACAACTGAAAAACTAGTGTTGCAATTGTCCACCTCTCAGTACTTTCCCACTTCCCCAAACACCTATGTGTTGCTTCTCATCCCAGACTGGTAGGTTCTCACTGAAAACTGAAAATGTTTAGCTGCTGGTAGATAATTTTCATTTTTAAGAAATGATTTCACAAAACAGTTGAGCATTGTTAGCAAAGCTTTCTCAAACAGGAGACATGTTGTGCTAGTGACCACAACAAAGCTACAGAGGAAATAGCAGCTACACTAGTAGGATCAATTCATTCAGCTGTATCACTGTTGCTCGGCTGAACTAATTGGATTTATGAGGGACATAACAAAAGCATACGGAAATCTGTTTGTTCTTTAACAGGTGCGGAGAATTGGGGCAGCCAGTAAAGCAAAGCCGCTGTATGTACCTGCCACATATGTGACAGAGGTACCTATCGCACCAATGCCCTCACCACAACGTCTGGTTATGTCTGTCTCGCTGAACTCTAACCTTAGGACGCTGCCGAGGATGTCACTCACTCCTAGCCCAACAGCAACTCCCTATAAGGAACAGCATCAAGGTAAAGTGTGAGAGGAAGACAGAGAGTCAGGAAAGGATAATAAAGATAAGGATAATAATCATCTGGTGTGTGTTTTTTAGTTGCAACGACTGTTTAATTTTCTCTTAAAAGAACAGAAATCTAACATTTTCAGTTGTTATTTCTCTTGAGTAAAGAACATAAATTCTGAATTGATCTGTGAAAAATGAGAATTGTTTTTCTTTTTTTTTTTTGTTGAATTGTTTTTGTCTTTCTGTTACAGTGAACAAACCCATCTATCGCTCCATGGAAAACCTCAACACCAATAGTGCCTTCCAGAGACTGGACAACACCAGCACAGGTGGTGGCCATTTCCCCACCTTGCCCCTCTCTGGATTCACCTTTGCCTCCAAATTTCCCACCTCCCCATCAGGCCACCAGATGGTCACAGGGTGTTCTGCAACCTCCACATCCCAAACAGCACCTTCAAACCCCAGAGTGGTTCCCATGATCACACGCAGCCAGAGCTCCAGCGACCTGCCTGAAACCCTGACAGAGAACCCATACGATGAAGTGGGCGGTGGCTTCAGCAGTCGCGTTAGCCATAGGATACCGGAGAAGGTGTGTAGGCACTGGGACGTTGTGGGGGGTTTT